AGGTGTGGATGGCTGATCGACATGTATGCTAAGTTCGTGCTGATCCAGTGTCACTTTGATAGGTGGATATGTATAATCTATTGTAAACCCGGGGCGTCAGCATTGTTGCTCATGATCAAGAGATTAGCCATACATTTATTGTGTCCCTGTGAAGGAACCAAACAACGCGCGTCGTCTGATGTCCAATATGCACCATCGTCCTTGCGGAAAGGTACGAGAGGAGTTTTGTTGTTTATAATTGAGCCCTTCTTGGTCCCAAAAGTACCCCCCGTTGATGCTTTAGAGTTATATTGAGTTAGCGTAAGGCGTTGAATGTTCAAAGGCTTACTGAACTCATGGTGCTCTCCATGCTTATCCGTATACCCTTGGTTCATCCAGCATTCCGGATAGACATATTCCCAAAAGGCATAGAGACGATCCACATTGGCATGATGAAGGAAGAATATGAGATCAAATGCTTCAGGAATACGTAAGCAAATGTCCATTTTCAAAGGTATTTATTTCATACCTGCGATATCAAGGTCGGACTATAGGCACGTCGTTAAAGTTATGACCTTTATAAGTAGCAAATACATACCATGTGTCCAGGCCCACCGGTCAAGAGATGAACCATATCGTGCGGTTTTTCCAGCGAGCGACCTAACAGCATTCTGGATCACTCAGAGCTCCAGTCGAGTGAAATCGTTCACGTACCGAAGTGCTGATAATTCCAATCATTATCTTCAAGTTCTTTGGGGTCATTTTGACGGGTCCCTTTGTTCGAGAATATATCCCATCTATCGGCAGATTAAGTCGGCAATTATGGAGCTTATGAAAGTTTTACTCACATATTCCCATAATATTTCTTGTCGACAGTTCCAGGCATGGGTAAGGTGAAGAGATAATAAACCTGCTTCACAAACCAACTGTAGGGTGTAGCTTACGTTCTTGACATTCTTCTTTACGCCATTGGCATAGAATATCCCCCTTGGAAAATGCGCTATCGCTCAAGTTTAATATGGTTGGTCACGTCAAATTGCTGAAATATCACCTTGTAAGGTTGTCGGTCTGATCATAGGTGCCTTGGTGATTGGTAGGATTATTGAATGGCCACCGGTATGTTTGCGACCAGTCTTGATACCCCCGAGGAATATCCAAATATTTTGTAGAGTTTTTGAAGTTTTTGTTCATACCGCTCAGCCTGTAATTACATAGCGGATTGGGTACGGTGATAGGCTGTGAGTGGAGTGGATTGAGTATTGTTGTAGCCGGATTTGTCAAGATTGCGGGGACACCATTCCTTCCTGTGTCGGGGTGAATCCAGTCCCAATACCTGCGCTATAGATGAATGAAAAGTCGTTCCTAAAAGGAACTTCCACTGACGGGAAACGCAAGGTATTGGCAGCAGTAGAACATGCATCTTTCTCGCTGTGTTGAGAGCATTGTGAAACTAGCTCTTGAGCTATTTTGGCCGCGTCGCGAGTGACGGCTTGCTGAAACATCTCTGTTAGAATTGAAAATCGAATTCGACGCGTATTTACCTCCACGAGGAGCATCACGAGGCGGTGCCAAGTAGGAAAGAGGATAGCTGCCATGACATTTCACTTGATTGGAAAATAGAGCTAATATGATCACATCTTACCGTAGCGTCGGTACATAGTTTGTGTAGAAGCCTAGACTTTTAGCTATACTATACCG